AGATTAGATTGCGGAACGGACATTATGAAGTTTCATTGACTTGGAAAGAGAACTGGCGTAGATTACCGCTTAATAGGTTTGAGGCAGAAGGCAGGCTGGACAGTCTTCAGAAGAAACTAAAGAAGGACGAAAGCCTATTAAAGTCCCGCAATCAAATACTAACAGACCATGAGTTGAAGGGTTATATTAGTCGCGTTCCTGACGACTTCTCCAAGAAACGTAGATTTATCCCTCACCACCCAGTTATAAATCCCCTCAAGCCTGGTAAAATTAGAGTGGTTTTCGATTGTGCCTTTAAATGTAAGGGAATGTCCTTGAACGATTGTCTGTATTCGGGACCGGATCTGATGAATGATTTGGCTGGGGTACTATTGAGATTTAAAAAACATCGGATAGCCTTGTCAGCAGATATTGAGGAGATGTTTCTGCAGGTTCACTTACCTGTCAAGGGTAAAAGTGACTTTAGTTTCTTATGGTATTCTGAGGGTAAACTGGACTTACCACCGAGCCTGTATGAATTAAACGTACATCCCTTCGGTGCTACCTCATCACCTTTTTGTGCAGCCTATGCTTTAAAACGAGCCACAGTCGACGTTAGTTTATGTGGACGTTATTCACGACGATGGAAACAAGGGCAACTCCTTGCCGATACGTTTTGGAGACGGTGGAAGCGGGAGTACTTGACGACCTTACAATCGCGTGCAAAGTGGGTTCAACGACATCGAAACTTACAAGTGGGAGACCTAGTACTAGTGACTACGGAGCCTTCACCTCGCAATCGTTGGTCAGTGGAAATAATTACAGGTGTTACGGCAAGCTGTGATGGGTATATCAGAAAAGTGAATATCAAGACACCGAGGGGTATAGTTAACCGAGATGTGCGTAAGGTTTGCCTATTAGATATTGAGGTATTGAGGAGAGATGAGCACTTTGTTGGATATATAGCTGGATAGTGGATGCAGATGTGGCGGGAGTAAATTGTATCATTTCTTTGTCTTACTAGCAGGTAGAGTAGGGAAAACCAGGCTGGTTTTTAGGGGGCGGTGTTAATTCCTTTCCTACCTGTTCATTCTCAATCTTTCCTTTGTTCAACATTATACTACTTGCCATTAGTGAGTAGTATGATTTTTATATGTTAATTTATAACAATGACATTTGCTTACAACTGCAGTTAAATTACTTGTTCTATTATCATTCTATTAATGTATAGTTCTTATTTTTCTTCTCCTTAAACATTATTTGCTGACCTTACCCTATAGTGTATGCTTTACTATTAAAAGTTGTTTGTTCATATTTGTTGATTCTTTGCTTGGCATTCGCGGGCCGCTTGAAGCGACACGTGGATCGACCTTGACACAGCATTGCTGTTTTTACTTATTGACTGCACAGTGGTTGTGCATTTGACGGCATTTAGCCACAGACACCTCACATTTTGAGGTTTGTATATTATATATCTATTTTTATGTAATAAAGTACCGTATTGCAGAATATCCTGTATTTCGCACTTTACGCGTCACTCTACGTGTGGTTAAATCTATAATTTGGATAATCGTTTCGGATTTCTCTCGGGAGAAATTCACAAGCTTACTATCCAGCAGATTTACGGAAGAAAATGAAGGCGGATTAGGCATACTCACTCTGAGACTATTTGCAAGTGACATTATATTTCAGACAGGTCCTCAGACTGGAACTCGAATGAGAAGCAACGAGTTGAGCGTGATGTGGTAGAGAATATGTTTAAAGGAAATAAAGGTGTGCAGACAGTCGTGAATTGAGTTGATATACATGGGGGGGGGGCAGCAACCGAGTACAACGAAGATGTGTCGCTTGGACCTTGTATTACACTCGAAACCCAATGAATAACAATACTAACTGTTACTACACATAAAGCGGCACCATAACTTAGTATAGTTTGATAAATAAGCTTTAATGAGATTTAGACATAGGCGGGGATTTTTTTTTACATGACTGAAGGTGAATTCACTCTGTTATTCTCGAAGTGCTTTTATGCCTTCGTAATTTTATAGTCTGTGGAAGAGATCTGTTGTCTACATGTACTTAGCACACTTTCTTACACAAGTGATTTCTATTTCCTTGTCTTTGGATTGCGTTTGTGGGGGTGGGGGAGGGGGCAGTTTCATTTGGGAGAGTTGGTGTTCATAAATTCAAGGATTGGATAACGGATTAAAAATGCTTATTATAATTTTTCAAAAGAATAGTTAGTGAACAAAGAACATTCTTTTCGATAACTTCATCATCAGGTTCTACAGTTATATCTATATACATATATATATATATATATATATATATATGTATATATATAATAGTGAATGAATTAGTGTTATTAACAACATGAATGTTGTTTAAATGACGTCGAATCAATAATAATAATAATAATATCAATGGATTACAGTTCGATAGTATCAAAATAACAGTACACTGAATATCAGAAATATTAGGAAGGATAATAATACAGGATTCATGAAATTCGAGTCTCCACTAAAGGCCGGCCAGGGTAGTAGTAGTGGCTGGCTGAACTTGCGTTTTCTGCACACAAAGCAATGGTTGTTTTGAGGCGAATTGCAGTAGCCCCAGCTGTTTGGAGTATGAGGTGCCTGGATGTTTTTGGCAATTTATTTGGTAACCGGTAGATGATGATAGAGAAGGATTCTTCAATGCTGGCTGGCTTTGTGGCTGGTTTGAACCAGGTGGTCTAATATGGAACTGTTGATGGTTTCTTTTACTGCACCTTTACTTAGCCATGTTGGGAGATGTTCCCGAGTGAGCACGAGAAATCAAGTTCCTCGAGCAGCGGCCAATATAAATCGTTCCACAAGCGCAGTCTAGTTATTTCCTCTCCAATTGAGGAATCATAACCCGTCGTGTAGAAAATGTGACTTGTAGCTTACCAGCATTAAAAGTTCTTTGAATAGGCTTTCTTATTTCTTCTTATTATTATTGTCCCCTTGGGTTCCTAGTGGAACATAGGGCTTCAACTGCACGTCTCCACTTGCTTCTGTCTTCTGCTATACTTTTCACCTGCATCCATGTTAGTCCATACTGTTTCATCTCCTCTTCACACGATCTCCTCCATGTCACCCTTGGACGTCCCACTCGCCGCTTCCCTTTCGGGTTCCACTCGAGCGTTGGCCTGACGCGCGATGTCACTCAACGGCCTCCTCAGCGAGTGTCCAATCCATCTCCACTTCCTCCTGCATATTTGTTGGGCGATTGGTTCTTGTTTTGTTTGTTCCCATAGTTTCTTGTTGGTGATTCTTTCCGGTGGCCATCAGATCTTCAGTATAGGGCGAAGACAGTTGTTGATAAAGGTCTGCAACAGGCTGTTGGAAATATTCTTTGTGACCCATCAAGTTTCTGATCCGTATGGAAGAACTGACTTTACGTCGTCTATATTGAAAATCCGAATTTTGTTGTTGATGGTGAGTGATGAAGATTTCCAGATTGGTTTCAGGTTGATGAATATGTTTCTTAACTTGTTAGTAATTGTTTCATTGGGCACGTGACGCTTGAATTACAATCGTACATATATAAGGCTTCTTATTTACAGATAGAGAATAGTCCTTTTTTGCTCATGTGTTTCTTGATGAAGTTTTCTGAATAGCTATTTTCAGTAACCTCTTCTGAGCACATAGCTCTAACCATGTGGCTAAGGGTCCTTACTAAATTTCTTTTCTACTGGAGAGGAACGAAGCTATGAAAATGTGTATATTGTCCTGTCCATGTGCTTTTCATATGCAAATTTCATTTTATACTACCATTTGCTTTTCTTGTAAGGAGGACATCTAGGAAGGCAATTCATTCTGTTTTTGAGTTTCCTCTTCTCACTTGAATTTCATGGCAGAATGGACTTCATTGAATTCAGTTATTATTCTGTTCCTACCCTAATCATTATCAGAAAGAATAAGAGTGTCATCCATAAACCTACTGGAAATCATTGAAATTTGACATTAAATGTTATTCTACTGCTTCGTAAACTAGATTTCAAGTCAAAAGCACTTAAGAAGTGTGGTCACATGGCAAGTGTTTGCTCTTTGAATTGAGATCCGTGAAACAAATCTTTCAGTAACCAGGTTGTCAGGGATACTTCTAGTATGGGAACTGGTGATACCTACTCATTTGACCTGACCTGAAGAAGGTGAATTAGGATTTGAAGTCCAAGATCCGTTGTCTGAAAGTTGGTTGTTTAAGCCGATGATTCATGTCGCCACTAATAATGAGTGATGATCGGAGGGCAGATGAAAATCTGGGTCGGCGCAGGAATCGAACCGATGACTTTCGAACTATCAGTAGTGCACTGAACCAGATGAGTTACCAGACCCAACTACCTGGTACTCGTGCACTAATGTTTTTGTCAAATTTATATTTGAATAAACAGGTATTACCGTATGCTGACCGACTGACTGACTGGTTTCAACATCGAATTTTGCATAGATGCGCAGCAGTTCGAGTTGACACATCCCATGAAGCACACAAGGCACGAGAAAGGAATAAAGATAGATCCAAAAGAGAGATAATCATCAAGGAAGTGTGAGTGAGGGAAAAAGAATAGTAGTATGAAAGAAAAATAGAGTCTTATTGGATGTGGCAAATAACAGAGAGTGAATACATCTGCACCAGCCATTGAGAACGATTTTGAGCCATATCACCACCAATTGTCTCTAGCGGCCATTGGTTCTTACCACCATCCCGAGGACCCCAACTAGCCAAGAAGTCTACGTGGATGGCTGGTTTAAACTAACTGTTATGGATTTCATTGACTGATGAGGCCATGTTTCTGTTTGACAATCACTAGTAGCTCTTTTCCGACCTCATCAATCCTATGTCAGCTAACATTGACTGCCAGTCAAGAATGGTGATGGCATTACTGTAGTATACACTCTCACTATTCATCTCTGTTTGGAATTTTTCGATTGAGTAAATGCTGTAATCAAGTTAATCTCTTCTCAAATTACAATGTATTATTTTGCTTTCGTTTCTAGTAACTTTACCGCCTCATTTCTCGGATAAGCAAGTTAGTTCTGTAAGAAAAAAGTTAAAAAATGGTCTACTACAATTACTAAGACATCCAGCAGCTGTATCTGATTTCCAAGGGCGAATCACTATATTGCTGACTGATCTTGGTGCTACTGAAGCAGAAGTAAGTGCAGGTTTAACGATTTCTTGTGAGTATATAATTCAAGTATGTTTCATTCCCTTACATTTCGAGTAGAGGAAACATATAGAGGACTATTCAAGCCTGAGTCTTGAGGTTTCAGCAACTATATTGTGGTAGTTGTTTTTAAAGCGTTGGTTCTCTAGTGATGCTCACACCCCAATCATTTCCCTTTTTACCGGGTTTATTGCCGAGATTCAAGGGATGTTTTGATGCACCAAAGAATCTGTGAACTTCCACACTGTAGGTAGCCGCTCACACACTTCCAAAAGCCCCTTGGATCCCTCCTGAGCATCATCGAAGGTAGGGGAATGGAACCACAGACCGCGTACATGGATTGGAAAGCATTGGTGTTATCATTTGTCCCTCAACGTCAAATATATGGCTCATAGCTGCTGGGTTACCGAGCCTTAGGTTCTATTTCTAGCTTACTTAAGGTGTTGTTTGGGTAGAATTATGATTTTCCCTGATAATTTTTTCTTATGAAACCGTGTTAATGAAGACAAGGACTTCAGGTAAACATAGAGAAGACAGAGGTGATGAAGGTATATCTGATGACCATTGGTAGAAACAAGCACCAATTGCCATGAAGGGGAGAAATTTAAAGGAAGTAGGTGTTTTTCATTCACATAGACTGGGTAGCAGTGTTTCAAACTACAGGCGGTGGTTCGGATGGTGTTCGAGGATGTCATAACCATCGATGATCATATAAAGAAAGCACAACAAGTGTTCATTTTTTGAAATTAGTGTGGAGATTCAGCGGATAATAAATAATGTTAAAATGTATTTCAATTCACATTTCACATAACATTCTAAAAAGTTATTTATTTATTTTACTATAAAAAGCATCTTATTGACTAATAACACTCGTCTAATTTCCCAGCCTATTGTATTTGATTGATAACACTAATATTATTATTTCCGAGTGTACTTCATCTTATATAGATTTTATTCAAATGTCTTATTATTATTATTGTTCCCTTGGGTTCCTAGTGGAACATAGGGCTTCAACTGCACGTCTCCACTTGCTTCTGTTTTCTGCTGTTCTTTTCACTTGCGTCCATATTATTCCATACTGTTTCATCTCCTCCTCACACGATCTCTTCCATGTCACCCTTGGACGTCCCACTCGCCGCTTCCCTTTCGGGTTCCACTCGAGCGTTGGCCTGACGCGCGATGTCACTCAACGGCCTCCTCAGCGAGTGTCCAATCCATCTCCACTTCCTCCTGCATATTTGTTGGGAGATTGGTTCCTGTTTCGTTTGTTCCCATAGCTTCTTGTTTGTGATTCTTTCTGGCCATCTAATCTTCAGTATGGAGCGAAGACAGTTGTTGATAAAGGTCTGCAACAGGCTGTTGAAAATATTCTTGGTGACTCGCCAAGTTTCTGATCCGTAAAGCAAAATTGACTTCATGTTTGTATTGAAAATCCGAATTTTGTTGTTGATGGTGAGTGACGAAGATTTCCAGATTGATTTCAGGTTGATGAATGTGTTTCTCGCCTTCCCGATTCTCGATTTGACATCCTCGTGCGTTCCTCCTGTAGTTGAGACAATGCTCCCCAGATAAGTGAAAGAAGTAACCTCTTGAATCCAGCTTGTTCTGGTCGGAGTTCTGTATCCAGTGCGTCCTTGATTCTCTCCAGGATGATGCGACTCAGGATTTTACTTGGCGTCGACAGGAGCATGATTCCTCGCCAGTTCTTGCAGAGTCCCAGGTCGCCCTTCTTTGGTAGTTTCACCAGGTAACCTTTCCTCCAGTCAGTAGGCACCTTTCCCTCTTTCCAGATCTTTTGCAATAATGGAGTCAGCATATCTGCCGTCGTTTCTGGGTCCGCTTTCAGTGCTTCCGGGGGTATTCCATCTGGTCCAACTGCTTTTCCAGCTTTCAGAAGCTTGATTGCATTCATGACTTCAGTTTTCGTTGGAGGATTGGTGTCAACTTGCAGTTGTGTACGTGCTGTTGTTGGTATTACTGGACGGGTTGTAGGTGGTGGTCGATTCAAGAGTCCTTTGAAGTGGTCCGCCCATTGTTTAATCTGTCTTTCTTCTTTGGTAATTGGGTTCCCTTAGCTGTCTTTTATAGGTTTCACTTGTGTTGATCTCTTCCCGGATAGAGACTTGGTTATCTGATATAGTGTCCTCAGGTCCCTTTTGCCTGCTGCCTTCTCAGCTTCAGTAGCCAGGTTGTCGTAGAATTGTCTTTTGTCCTTCCTAGCACTCTTCTTCACTTCTTTGTCCAGTGCTGTGTAAGTTGAGTTCAGCGTCTCTTTCTCTTGTCCATCTTTGCATTGAATCATTTTTTCTTTCACCATTCTCCTCTCCTCTATTAGTTTCCAAGTGTCTGTTGAGAGCCATTCCTTGTCTTGTTTCTTCTTTCTTCCTAAAACCGTTGAGCACGTTTCGTTGAAAATTACCTTCAGAGAGTTCCAATGGTCTTCCACGGATGATTCCTCAGTGGTGCCACATAGTGTTTCCTGCTTTGCTCTGACAGTTGCAGTGAAAGTGTCCTTTGTGGTTGTGTCCTTCAGTTTGTGAGTGTTGAACTTGCATTGTGGCCTATCCCCAGCTGTCCTCGAGGCTTTTAGCTTCATTGATATAAGCTTTTAGCTTCACCTTGAAAGTCCCTTGTACTAGATAGTGGTCTGAACCCACATCTGCTCCTCTCCTCGATCTTGTGTCCAGTAGGCTCCGTCTCCACTTCCTTGAGATTGAAATGAAGTCTATCTGGTTTTTGGTGTGTCCATCTGGTGAAATCCATGTTGCCTTGTGTATATCCCTGTGTTTGAACACACTGCCACTAATCACCAAATCATTGAAGGCGCAAAAGTCTGAGAAGAGTTCGCCATTTTCGTTCATTTCACCGAGGGCCTCACGACCCATGGTGAGTTCTCTTCCTGTATTGTCTCCTCCCAGTTTCGCATTCATGTCGCCCATCAGGATTTTGATATCGCTCTTTGGGACGTTGTCCATTACTGTTTGCAGTTGACTGTAGAAGTCCTCCTTCTCATGTTCTGAGGCGTTTGTAGGCGCGTAGCACTGAATGATTGTAACCTTTTTTCCTTTTGAGTTGAACCTGGCTGTCATTATCCTGGAGGAGATTGGTTCCCACTGCATGAGAGCTTTAGCCGCTGTTGGTGACATCATGATGGCTACTCCCTCGGTGTGCTCGTGATTGTCCTCTGGGTGACCGGAGTAGATTATTGTCTCTCCAGTTGATAGTTGGCTCCTTCCACATCCGTTCCATCTGCTCTCGCAGATTCCCAACACTTCTATTTTATATCTCCTCATTTCTGCGGCTACCTGAGCAGCCTTTCCAGCTTCGTACATTGTACGAACATTCCACGTCACCATCCTTATTTTCGCTTTCATCGAAAGGAGGCACATCGGCTGAATGGCTTCCCGAAGGCTTTCACCAGCCTGCGTCATTTCACTTCCCCGATTCCAGCGAAAAGTGAGGTTATTGTTTGTATTTTTAGAATTTTGAATATATTTGTGCGTTGAAGTTTTAGTAGCAATCTGGTTAAGTTTTATGGGTGGAGTTGCTAGCACCACGCCCCAACCCTCCCTCTTTATCCGGGCTTGGGACCGGCTGGAATACTAGTGACCTAGTAATCTAGGCGAGGTTAGATGCAATATAAGTGACGGAAAATTTTGGTAGCCCAAGTTTTAAGCAGGCCGCTTCACATCTACTCCTTCTGGACCTCTTCAGTACGTCGCTTTACTAAGAGCTTTAAAGCCTACTGGCACGGTTACACCAAGATTATATGGACTACCAAAAGTACACAAAATTGGTTTGCCGCTTCGACCAGTATTGGACATGTGTAATTCCCCATATCATGCAGTAGTAAAATGGCTAGTGAAGCTTCTAAAGCCTCTGCATAATGAATTGGTAAAACATAGCGTAAATGGCAGTTTTGAATTTGTTGACAAAATAAGAGATCTTAATGTGAGGGACAAGTTTATGATATCTTTTGATTTATCCTCCTTGTTCACCAATGTACCGTTAATGGAGACAGTGGATTTTATATGTGAGGAGATTACCACACGAAACATAGACATCGTGATTTCTATATCCACCTTGAAGGAACTTATTTTAAGATGTCCAATGAATGTTCATTTCTTATTCAATAAGGAATATTACAGGCAAATTGATGGTGTAGCTATTGGTTCCCCATTAGGTCCAATCCTAGCTGGTTTTTTCCTCGCTAAATTAGAGAATGGACCACTGAAAGGAGTAATTAATGACATGGATTTCTGCTGTCGATATATGGATGATACATTTGTGGTTATGAAAGATGAGAATGATGCAATGAATATCCTCGACAAGTTTAATGATGCACATTCAGCAATAAACTTTACCATGGAGAAAGAAAGTAATGACAGTATCTCATTCCTAGACGTCTTCATGGCAAGGAGTGTGTATAGGAAACCTACAACAACAGGTCAGTACACTCATTTTTTGAGTTTTGTACCTTTGAAATATAAACGTAACCTGGTAAAGTGTTTGGTTCATAGAGCTGAGTTAATATGTTCAGACGACTGCCTCAATGAGGAGCTTAAGATTATTAAAGAATTACTTAGAAAAAATGGTTATCCAGATAAATTTATTGAGAAGAATATGAATTCAGCACCAAAGAGGGTCAGTATCGCTACAGTTTCAAAAAAGCCAATGTTCATAAAATTGCAGTTCCTCGGTGACAACATCAGTGAAATCATAACACAGCGCTTAAAGAATGCGGTTAAAAGAGCTTATTATGCAGCAGAAGTACGTTGTCTCTTCAAAACCACACCTATTCTATGTTCGAGAAATAAGGACAAACTACCTAAATTTGCCTCTTCTATGTGTGTCTACCAACTTGACTGCAGCTGCGGAGCCAGCTACATTGGGCGTACAATTAGGCAGTTTCATCGTCGTATTTCTGAACATCATCCATCGTGGTTAAGCAAGGGACAAATAAAATCTATTCGTAGTTCTATTTTAGCACACCTTGTTGATACTGAGCACAAGGTCGATGTGAATACTGCATTTAAAATTATTTATCGTATTCCAACTAA